AATCCACCATTTCCAATTTACTGCCTATTTTGATCCATCAGTTTTTCAGTGGAGCGTTTTTTCTTATTCTCTGTTTGAATGTTAGTGTTCTGGTAAAAAACAAAACAACAGACCTAGTGAATTTGAAGTCTGCCTATGAGGCTGTTGTAAAAGAAAGACTTTTTGAGAATTCTGTTTTTTTGTTCTGAGAAACAGTCATAAATATTGTTATTAGCAAAACAGAAAACTTAGAAAAAAATCTCTAAAATCCAGCAAAAATAATATGAGAGCTTATGAAAGCCAGTTTGGCATAATGATTAAGACATCAGGCTAGAAACTAGGACACCGTGAGTTCTAGTTTTGCCTTCTAGTCCTACCCATCAACAGCTTGGTGATCTTGGGCCAGTTACTTTCTCTTAGTCCTAGAAGGAGGAAATGACAAATCTCTTATGAAAAACCTTGCCAAGAAAACTGCAGGGACTTGTCCAGCAGACTTTGACAATCAGACACAGAAGAAGAAAAAAATGTGGCTATAGTTCTTAACACAGATTGGAAGTAAATATACATAAGAATTTTCTTTCCATGTGTGTTGCCAAAAAACAAAACAAAGCAAAACCCCACCTTGTTGTGACTCACAAGGGTTGTGTTAAGTAATGGGTCAAATTTAGTTATGGTTTGTTGAATGAGCATAGTAAGATATAAGTTATTATTTACAAGCCTTAATGCGTGATGCCACACAATGCTGAGCTAAAATCAAAGAAACCACATCATGGCTTATGAATGAGGCAGCAAGCCCACAAAGGTTGTTATGGAGTTTTGTCTATTCTGCCACAGCGGTAGCTCATTTTGTGCTCATTATGCCCACATTTGTCAGCTTTGCAAGAGTGAGGCTTTCAATCTTTTTCACCACCCTTTCTACCAAAGGGTCTTTGAATATGCTGTCATACAGTCCAGATTAATTTAGCTCCACCTGTTGTCTATTATAAAAAAGAAGGTTGGAAGGCTTTCCAGGAAATCCATTTAGATACATATCCATTTTTATATCCTTAATCTTTTTCACTCTGATTTTAAATTATTAATGTAATGGATCTTCCTTTATTTTTTCCAGAAGTGCATATTCTGCATAGTAACATCATTAAGGAAATTAGATTAATCATATTCACACTTATATTCAATATATTTCCAAAATCTAGCAATGCATTTATTGATTTGATAGACAAATTCAACTTCTGCATAAATGTTACCCTCTACTGGTCTTCAAAATAGTCCAGGAAGCATCTATGAGATTACACCGTTGTATTGACTCATGAAACTTCTGATATAAATTTGACAGAAAGATAGCTGCAGATACAGTGCATACTGTATTTGTGAGCTACATGGCAGAGAGAAGAATTAGTCTCCTTGATCCAAGTCAGGATTATAGCCATCATGCTACCTTTGCTTTTGAATGGAAAATGTTTCTGGTTTTCCTATTTCAGTTTAGATTCTATTTGTCTCCAAACTCTCATTATGGACTGAATGAAAATTTTAAGTCTCCACAATTTCATTTAGGATCAATGAAAGCTAATTGTGTGAATATATGTACTTGGCAGACAAGGAGGGCAATTGCCTATTTTCATTTACAGAATAATCTGTATATAAATGTAAATAATTCTGATAAAAATAACTTGCCTGGAGTTATTATTTACTGGCACTAATAGTAATAAAACCCAGTAAATCTCACACATCCAAAGTTTGCCTGGTAAGCATGAAAGAGATGTACTATACCTTTAAAAAAATCTATAGCAAAATATATTGCAAGATATAAAAACTTACTAAAGAAAAAAGAAGACAATGATTATACAGTAAATAAAAACCTAGGTATAGTGAGCAACATGAACAAAAAGTGATAAAGAATTAAAACTAACAGGATAAACAGAAAACAAATGATACATTAACTATAGGTAGTAAAAAAATTAATTCAATTCTTACATTTATTATTATATGTAGACTATACGAAACTTATTAGTTCATCTTCTCACTTTCCAAAAATATATAACAGGCTCATATGTTGGATCCATTCCTTAAAGTCATGATGGTATTCTTTCCTCTTTGCCATACCCCAGACTCAATATAAGCAAACCTTTTCATGAGATAACAAATTATATGTTTGAAATATAGTTCAACATCACATTAATATATTTAATTATATTATTTCTCCCAAAAAGTGTATTGAAATTTGTTATAAGGCTATAGCAAGTCAAAAGCAGTTTATATGACTTAAAGAACTTTTGAATTGTTTACAATGTCAACATGAAAAAAATCTAATACCCTTCCCTTTTTCAAAATTCTTTGAAGCACCCAATAAGCACAAACTATTTTTGATGAACTATGTTCATTTTTAAATTATAAGAAGTGTATTTTATGTTTCTTAGCTGCCAGACTCACTAATTTTCAAAAATTGAATATTCCAATTCTTCATTCCAAAATTCAGCTATTTACTTTTTAATCATTGCTATATAGCCGCACTAGCTGCTTGTGGACTTCTAGGTGCAATTCAAGGTGCTGATTGGTGCCTTTAAAGCCTGTCACTATGATTTCAGCTCATCGCTCCAGATCTGGCAGGGTGTGCATGTTATGGATCCTTTCCGTAAAACAATGTTATATGATGATGTTGAAGGAAAAATCTTCATCAGGGTCCAGTCCAAGCCAGGAATAAACAACATGGCAACTGCTTTAGAAAGAAGGTTGTAGTTCATTGAAGAGGAGAGCCAGACAGAAAGATGGCTCTGGAAAAAGAGAGAGCACATATAGTAGGGACTGGATTTTTATACCTTCTTGGGCTTTTGTTTGGAGTTGTTCCTGTGTCATGAACTTTGACCTGAGTCTGAGTGTGCCTTTTTGGTATTCTGATGGTGATGGGTTAATCCTATTATGTCTGTCTTAGAGTTTAGGTGGGGTATGTAGATTTTAAGGGTCTTTGTCTTCCTGATCTCTTCAGCTTCTAGCTGGAGGGCTCCAACCTTCCTGAATGGATTATTACATCTGCATTTCTAAAAGCTGGTTTCTGTTGAGTTGTCTGGCTAGGGTGTGTGTGTGGAGAAGTTTTTTAAAGATCTTCTCCATTATTCCTTTGGGGAAATATATTCTGCCTTTTTAATATTCCCAAAAATATTTCTTTTCTCTGGATTGTTCCCACAATGGGATGTTATCAGTGAATCTGCTTAATGGAATAACTTCCCTCCTAAGATTTGGATGTCTCTAACCCTATTGCTCTTTCAGAAGACCCTAGACTTGGCTAGGGTCTATCAAGATCATGTTCCTTATTCTCTACAGATAACCATACATATATGGGATAAACAAACAAACAAATCTTATAGCATTGAATTGTTGGGTTCTACTCAATTGAATCCACACCTCTTATGGATCTTAAAATTACAGGTACTTTGGATGCTGCTAGAGTTGCCAGCCATAATGTTTAATCAGTATATGTTTTATTTGTATATATTGCCAAGGGAATAATGTGGGTTAATCACATACAACTTCTCCAAATCTTTAAAACAAGTATTTTTTTTAAAGAAAACACTGATTAAAAGTGCTGATCCCTTATTTAGCTTACGTTTTCCAGAAAAATGACCTTCCTGCTATTTTCAAATTTGATTCCATTACATAAATTTCTCATGTGATTCAGGATCAAAACATAACTGCTTATTTAATAATCAAATATGCTTGGCAGCTTTCAAAGCAGGAAGTGTAGATTTAGTGGACCTTAAAACTTGCCAAGATTTCAAAGGTGTTATACACTTCATCTAAAAATTGCCCCCAGGAAGAGAATATTCATAGAAGATCTCATTCCAAAATAATGTACTTTAGATGTCAAAATAAAAGCCAAATGTTCTGGTTGAAAATGTAGTAAATTTCAATATTAGGTAGGCAGTTAGGCCAACAATATTTAAGGAAGTTTACTTTGCCATAAAAAATCTTATTAATTTATAAATTTGAATAAAATAAATACAGGAATCCCTGTTAAATATATAGTAATCTTATACTATGCATATTGATAAGATTAATCTTGCCCCAAATTTTAATGGAAATTATATTTACTAAATTTTTTATATGTTTAGATTCAGATTTTGTGATACATTTCTTGAATATTTTTTTATAAAATATATTTTATAAAGCCTGTACAAATTTCTTACAATAATCTACTGATACAGCAGATCCTAAAGGAAGCATATTAGACTTTTTCCAGATAATAGCAAAACCATATTGGTCCAATACAAATTGGTAATGACGTTGCATAATCATCAAGGAGTCATAAAATTAGCAGCAGATAAGAAAAAAATATATTTAGCATTAAGTGCTACCACACCCTTAATATCTTGAGACTATCTAATAGAAAGCACTACTGTTTCAATAATCAAACTGAAGATTAAAGGAGACTGGGGCAACTTTGGTGGGTGCTGTGATATGATATAACTTGATAGGTTGAGAGATTAATCCATCCATAATAATACATCTTGTTACCTGTTTGACATGGAGAAGAACTTAACTTCACCAATTACTACTTACTTTGCATCAGTGATAAGAAATGAATTGTTAAAGTGTATAGAAAATATGTTTTTTATTATAAACATTGTGCAGGCATAACCTTTTTGATCAATCTGTGGTACTGAATCAATTTGACAGATTAGTTCATTGAACGGAATGTTTCCAAGTGGATTCAGACATCATGTATATGCACCTGTGCTCTAATGGACTGGATCAATCTAAATCCAATCAGGTTCAATTCAGAGATTTAGCCTAAATTGATTCAGACATCTGAATTAAAAGAGTCTGATTTTCCAATTGATTTTCTGAATCCATCCAGATGTTTGAATTGAATTACACCCAATTTGCACATCTTTAATAAAAATAACTGGAAATTGCCCTTTTGGTTTTATGATATCTAGTAAACTATTACAATGGAATTCAATATAATTTGAAAAACATACATTATGTTTGTGTTTATAAAGAAAAAAATAATATACTTTTCCCCCTAGGTATCATTGATTTTCTTGTGAGTCCACATCCAATTGCCAAAGTACTGCGTGATCATTTGGTCTTCAAGATCGCTCCTATGCTTAATCCAGATGGAGTTTATCTTGGCAATTACAGGTATGAGAATGTAGTATAGGAATACTGATATACTTGAGTTAATTAACTTCTACAGCAGTTATTTGCAGTGCCAGAAAATAGGAAAGATATTTTAAAAGACTGATGTAAGAAAGATAAGAAAATTCCAAAATTCTATAAAGCTAACCAATTAAGTTATGCTTACATATTTTGAATATAAGATTTTTTTTAGTTTGCCTCTTCATCATTCCATTCAAAGTACTTTAAAGCTTAGTGAATGGATAAACTCACCAAAATCTAAAATTATCCATGTCATAACATCTTCTACTTGAATGTGGAGATAAGACTGGCCTCTACCTTGATATTTTTTCAAAAGGCCCTGCAGATATGGTTTTGCCAGCAGACCTGAAAACCCTGGGGTGATATAGAATACATTGAAGGGTTTTTATGATTGTTATTGCCATGTGTGTGTGTTTGTGTGTGTTTCTGAAGATGCATTTTGTTTTGCATTTGGAGTTTTATTTCTGCAAGCCATTTGGACTCACCATGAGTGAGCTGGGTGACTATATAAGTATTCTTAATAAATAAATAAACAAACAAACAAAGCTCGTTGCTCAATATACAGTTCTGGTTATTGTAAGGGATAGCTTCAGATATTCAGGAAAAAAAGCCCATAGTATCTCTCAGAAAGCATAAGTATTTTTTCCATCATTCTGATGTGTACCAAGCCCATTTATTGTAGCATATGAGCTATCCCACTCACTTTGATGCTATTTGCAAATTGGATAAGTATTCCTTTATTTTTCTTCATCCTAGCCATGAATGAATAAATAAGCCAGCCCATCACTGAATTTTTATACTTTTCTCCAGTTTAGTGGCATATCACTGAAGAAGCTTGTTTGAGAATACTTTGGAAGGTCTGTTTTGAAGCCATCCAGATCACACTTACATATCAAATCTAACACCTAGGCTAGACATTTCTGCACAAATTACCTTTAAATGTGAAAAAAGCATTATTTGTTTCAGTCACAGACTCTCATTTTGAAATAGCATGAGGCTATATAAGGCCCGTATAAGGTTTTGAAAAAGAGGTGAGGTTGACTTTCAGTTAATTGTTCAGTATCTTATTTCTGATCTTTATATATTCAAATGTCTCTGAGGGGTCTATTATTTGAATGGAATGGATTGGAATCAATTAGAATGGAATGGAGTGGGCTGGGGTAGAATAGAATAGAATAGAATAGAATAGAATAGAATAGAATAGAATAGAATAGAATAGAATAGAATAGATGAAAAATAATGTATCAATATTTGTAGAGGTAGAAAAGGATTTTTTTTCCTACATGCCATTTCCATGTTCTTTAAACCTCTAGCTATCTCTCCCTCTCTTGAAACTCCAAGTGAGAAGCCCAAAATGTATCAAACATATCTGGCCCATTGTCATCAATGAGTCTAGGTATTGCAGAAAGAATCACGTACTTATTGAACCAATAGCATCGCATAATTTTAGCTTCTTTATCAGATGCTGGAAATTCTGCCATTCTGAACTAAAAGTACTGCTAATGGAAAAGTATTAGTTTGATTTCTACCTTATTGTGTACAAAAATGCCTAATGTAATTAATAACTTAAAACGAATATAGTACATTGAACTGCCTATTATTGCAAGAGTGTTATTACAGTCTTGATAATGTGAGTATGCCATGGCTATTAAATAATTCACAGTAAGGTTTCACTGTTGAATTTTATGATAATGATAATAATGATTTTAAAATAAGTTCTCAGCAGGTGACAGCATCTGCTGAGTTTGTCTTGGCTTAGAAGCCCCACAACCAGACTCCAGTTCATATGACCTGAAAAGTCTAGGGCTGTTGACCAGGTTGGGAAACTGAAAACATCCCAGAAGATGAAAATGATAAAACACCTCCAAACATCTTGCTAGGAAGTCTCTGAAGTCTCAAGCATCAGTTGCAAATTGGAGCAGACTTGACTTTTACTCTGCTTGAAAGTCAAAGTTTGTAATCTGAATGCTAAAACTCAAATAGGATGGTGTTTCAGTGTGATTTCAATTCATCATTCCCATTTTTTCTAGATCTGACATTTTTTTGTGTGAGAAATATCCTCACTAAATTACATGGCAATGTCATAACTAAGCCAGTTATACCATTTCCAGCAGTTATGGAGTTGATAGGAACATAATTTACTATGTCATTCATGGCAAATTTGAATTCTATTCTTACATTTAACGGGCATCACTGTGCTATGAAATTATTACTTTGGGGAGATTCTTGGGAGTGCTAATTCTTGCATAAAAGCAGAATTCTATCAATTCTGTGTCCATTTCTCTTTGAGTGTATTGCATAGGGAGAGTTTTACAATACATAAGAAAAAATGAACTAGTTTGGTGCAAATGCACAATAAACATTTGAACATAATAACAATAATGAGCATGAATACTTGGAGTATAGCTGAAAATTGCTTCATGCAAAATACTCAAAGAAATGGAGCAAAGGGCATATTATTTTATAAAGATTTCCCATTGATAGAGGTCTTGTGAGCTAATCTGTTAAGATTAAAATGTTAGGATGGTTGTTTATGGCAATGAAATATAATTTTTGTTTTTTTCTAAAAGGAAAATGCACTGTTGATGAATAGTTCTGTTGATGAATAGTTCTGAAACTGGATAATGATAAATGATATGCCTACATTGATGATAAAAGGTTGACTCTGTTGGACATACAAAGAATGAAAGCTGTCTATTTAAAAAAACAACAAATTACCATATCATACATGATAGTAATTTGTAATGTGTTGTGATCAGGGCTCGAAAAGACAAAAAAAAAAAGAATTTAATTTGAGACCCTTGGAAGCTGTGTGCATGGCTCAGGGCTGAACCCCTGAAAGGAAAGTGCAATCTATGATTTGCAATGGACCACATATGATTATGAAAATAGGCTTAAACTGATCAGACTGATAAAACAGGCTTCTATCAGTGAAATACCAAAATAACATTTTCCCCTAATCCTTCGTGACTGCTACACTTCAAGGAAGAAAGTTGTTTTCTTCAGACTTTCAATATTTCCTGGCAGTTTAGCATTAATACCTTCTGGATATTTTGTGATACCTACAGCAACAATAGATAAGGCAAAGAAACACAACAAAATACTCTTGATTTAAAAACTGCACATCTTGAGGCCAGGGTTGAACTCTCCTTTATCCTAAGCTTGCTCTAAACTTGTCACCATGTAGCTGAAAGAGCGACATCTGTTCCTGCAGGCAAGATGCCTGTAATGGTGCCATCTTCAGCTTAGATTAGTTCCAATTTGTCATTTTCACCTTGCAGAGATGAGAGACCCCCAGATGGCATGGAAGGTAATATGCTTCTTAATAGTGGCAGATCTCTGCTGAAGCGCCCTTGAAATTCTGTGACAAGGCAGTAGCCAAAAAACAAACAAACACCCAACCACCCAAAAACAACCACCCTCCACTCTATTCCTTCTGAAAGCTTTTACAGTCAGAATCAAGTGTTAGCAGCTCCTGGTCTGTTCCACACTCTTTCATTATTGCTTTCACTTACTTGCTGTGACAGTGAAAGACACAGGGGAAGTAATATATATATATATATGTTAATTATAGCACATAGGTTTGTCACATCTCAAGCCCAGGACTTCTTAAGAATGTTTGCTGGTAGGCAAAGTTCTCTTTCGGTATATCTCAATATGCTAACATGGCATTCAGAAGTAAGTGAGGCTGAGGGGAAAAGTGCTCAGCAGTTGATTTCTAACAATGGAGATAGAGGGGCCTAACTTTTCTAAGGGTCTTTTTCATCCACTTAATTATAGACAGCAGTTGCCCAATAACCATATTAAAACGGAATAAATGGGAAGGAAGTCTCTGAGGTAGGAGGCAATTAAATGCAGAAAAATAGTAGAGAGGATGAAGGCAAGGAAATGGAGCAAAAGGCATTTGATTTTGTATGGATTTCCCAGGAATCACATAGTTGGAAGAGGTCATTTTGACAAGTAAGTTACACTAGCTGTTCAGCACAGGAATTCAAATCAAAGCATCCCTGACAAGTGTTTTTCTTGAAGGTAAAAAAGGGAAGCCTGCCACCTCTCCAGGTAATGTGTGCCTCTGTCAAAGTGTTCTGCTAAACTATTTTTCTAACATCAACCAGAATTTGCTTCCCTATTATTTAAAGTCTGTTATTCCATATCCAGCATTCAGAGAGAGAGTTAATGCATTGATCATAGCTTTCTTCTCTTGGGCAAATCTTTAGGGCTTTGAAGAAAGCTAGGATATTCTTTCTCAGGAGTTACTAGACAAACATTTTGTCCTGGAACTGGTGTGAGGTGAACACCCTGTTTTGCTGAAATAATGTCATGAGGAGAGATTTATAAAAGAGTCATATGTCCTCACTATACATGGGGACGGGGAACTTCTTTTTCAGGGAAACTGACAAGTCTGGGCAGAGGGGAATACAAACTACCAGGGGGTTGGGGAAGTGGGCCTATTCCTTTGCATACTTCATTTGTCTTGTTAAAATAGAGGGGGGGACATTTGTTTATTTATTTCCTGCTGTTATTATTTTTACAAATAACTCAAGTTGTCGAACATATCAAACACACCTTTCTCCTCTTATTTTCTCCACAACAACAACTCTATGAGGTGAGTTGAGCTGAGAGAGAAAGTGACTGGCCCAAGGACACCAGCTGGCTTTCATGGTTACGGCGGGACTTGAATTCATGATCTCTTACTTTCTAGTCTGGGACCCTAACCACAATTGCTTAGGAACTACTGTATCTTCATTACAAAAATGAAAGCACATTTTAACTTCGCTGTTCCTAACTAAATCTAGTTGATTTCATTCATACGCTACTGTACGTGCAGATGTGGTTGAAAACAAGAGAAAAGAAGGAATTTTTTTAACCCAGTTATCTGATCTATCAAGATCATTTTGCATCTTAGTTTTGTCTTTTGCAGCGTTAGCCAACCAGCCTAATTTTGAGTACAACATTCCAGTCATCCAATTTGAAATCCAAAT